ACCATCACTGCAGCAATCCACCAGTCGGGGCTTTATGGCAGAGTGGCCCGACGGAAGCCTCTCCTCAGTGCAAGACACATGAAAGCCCGCATGGAGTTTGCTAAAAAACACCTGAAGGACTCCAAGATGGTGATAAATAAGATCCTCTGGTCTGATGAGACCAAGATAGAACTTTTTGGCCTTAATTCTAAGCGGTATGGGTGGAGAAAACCAGGCACTGCTCATCACCTGTCCAATACAGTCTCAACAGTGAAGCATGGTGGTGGCAGCATCATGCTGTGGGGGTGTTTTTCAGCTGCAGGGACAGGACGACTGGTTGCAATCGAGGGAAAGATGAATGCGGCCAAGTACAGGGATATCCTGGATGAAAACCTTTTCCAGAGCGCTCTGGACCTCAGACTGGGCCGAAGGTTTACCTTCCAACAAGACAATGACCCTAAGCACACCGCTAAAATAACGAAGGAGTGGCTTCACAACAACTCCGTGGCTGTTCTTGAATGGCCCAGCCAGAGCCCTGACTTAAACCCAATTGAGCATCTCCGGAGAGACCTGAAAATGGCTGTCCACCATCGTTTACCATCCAACCTGACAGAACTGGAGAGGATCTGCAAGGAGGAATGGCAGAGGATACCCAAATCCAGATGTGAAAAACTTGTTGCATCTTTCCCAAAACGACTCATGGCTGTATTAGATCAAAAGGGTGCTTCTACTAAATACTGAGCAAAGGGTCTGAATACTTATGACCATGTGATATTTTAGTTTTTCTTTTTTAATAAATTTGCAAAAATTTCTACATTTCTGTTTTTTTCTGTCAAGATGGGGTGCTGAGTGTACATTACTGAGAAATAAAATGAACTTTTTTGATTTTTGGAAAATGGCTGCAATGAAACAAAGAGTGAAAAATTTAAAGGGGTCTGAATACTTTCCGTACCCACTGTACTGTGATGCACTCTACATTTCCAGCGTTTGATAGCCACTGTATGATACAAAGATTTTAAATCGTGTCCCTGATTTGTGTTCATTATTTACCCATTTTTATTTATGATCACATCCCTGTTCCCAGCTAATGGGTCTGTAAGTAAATAAATATATAGCTGAACTGAATAACAGTCTTCACTTCAATTTCTGAAAGCTCTATCTCCAAGTGCTGTGAGGTTTAGAGTGTTTTGGGATTACTGTGCGATCCATAATCCCATGGTGGTGTTTAACTGGAAGCGCAGAGCAGAATCACACTTCAGACGATGTGCTTTGTGCTAACAAGCACAGACAAAAGATCTCTTCTCCTTGCTCTCCTTCCCTCTTAGGAGCCACATAAACACAGTAGACTTTTCATCTGCCCTTCAACCTCTGAGGCCTGTTGACAAAATCCTACCCTGTTCAGAAAACACATGGTTAAATCAAACAAATAATTGATTTCACTAAAGTGTTAATTTTGCGTCAGCTTTTCTTAACAATTGCGATGAAAGTTACGATTTCCTTTTATGTTTGACCACAATACCGCATGCTTTGCAAAACAGTTTACTCCCCTTTGGACCTTTGCTGTTATATATATTTATTATATTTGTAGGCAAATGTGAGACGTTGGTCTCACACGTCTGCTGCCTCTTGTAAACAAGGAAGTGAGTCTGCTGACGTATGACAACATTTGGAGGAAACGGTGATGATAGATCAAATTTGCGAAAAAGTTGTGGTGATTGGTCCAAATTGCAAGTCGTGTTAAATTCACAGGGATTTGCTGAATTTGTGTTAATAGTTGCCATCGCAAAATCCTGGAGTGACTGTATAACTGACAGTATTCTGTCTATTCTGAATCTATGATAGTTGTCAGGAGTTTGATTCTTGAATACTCTTACACTATTATCCATCCATTGGGGAGAGGCAGGGTTGAATCTTTGAAAGGATGCGGTCCACACATTTGTGTCTTTTCGAGGACTCTGGGTCAGAATGAACCTGCATTGCCTCTCCAAACGAGACAGTCTAGTCTCACAGAGGACAAAAATAATGATGCATTCAAACAGTTTCTGTACTCATAACGTCAAGAATGTAAGGAAGAGAAATTGCATATCTTCTGCCTGTCAGCCTGTGTATTGTATACTGTCAGCTGCTTTGCTCTTTATAGGACATTCATCTCTTCGCATCTGTCATTACTTAAACTGTCTTGTCCAAAACAATGTATTTTGTGCTCTCAGCATTTCAAGCTGTAGCCAATTTGCCGTGAACTTCCACTGATTTCAAAATCAGTTTCACTGTTTATGCTGCTCAGCTTGTTCCATCCTTGTTTTTCCATTTTTCTATATGTGCTTTCACAGGTCCGACTCTGCCTGTTCTTTAAATTTACATTTCCTTGACACTTACAGTACAGCATTGGAATATTACATGATTTGTTTTCAGTGCTACATGTCTATTTAGGACAATAGTAGCTGAACTAGCAAATTAGCAAATAGTCCCAGAAACATTTTCATCAAATCTAATTATAGTCTGCAATAATGGTACTTCTCAGCATAAAGTTGATAAAGTTAAATACTTGGGTTTCTGGACTTGACTCTGAACATTTACATTTTAATTTCACATTGATCACCTTCTTCACAAACTTAATTTTGGAACCAGTGTCTAGAAACTGTTTTACACTTAGTTTGCAAAAGAAAGTTGCCATTTTTGACAATGCTGATGTTGTTTATCAAAATGCATCTTAAACTAGCCTTCTACCTCACAATACAGCATACAATAATTTGTAGATTTTCTCTTGGATGTACTAATCACGGTGTATAACTGTCTTCTAATAACACTCAATATTAGAAGACACATTCATTGGCTACAACTCATTTTTAAATGTGCACATTTCAGTTTTTGGTACCATATTCCTCAGTATATAATTTGATGCATTCTACACAATACTTCTTCTCCACTCCTACAGTCACAAAAGCAATAGCAAAGAGTGCATTTATGTATAAGGCTCAGACTGGAATAACAATCCTTAACGTCATTTCACATTTTCAAAAAGTGGTTTGTCTTCTTATTTTGAGTAAATTCTTTCATGTTTTCAGATGATGTTATAATAATATAATAATTGTAATGTCTTTGATTTGTCTCTTGGTTTTTGTATTGTATTGTATTGTATTGTATTTTATGTTAGGAGCCACTTGGGTTCATCATAGTGTTATAGTACTTGAGACCGGTCTTGGTCTCGTCGTGGACTCAACCCCATTTGTACTCGGTCTTGTCTCGGACATTGAGGAATCAGGATTTTATTTCAAGACCAGTGAAGACCATAACTTTGGGAATATCAATAAATTGCTTTTGCATTGTCTGATTTATTTGTTACTAACTTTGATTGGATGTAAAAAGTACTGCTTCAGATGCAACGAATAACCCTAATAAAAAACGTGTTGTTCCCATTAACGACTGTCCCCCCTCCCCGTGATGGTAAACATGGAAAAGGAGTGTTCAATAAAAATGCTTATGTTGGGTTCAGCTCTTAGTGTTTGTATGTGGGTGGTTTATTTTCAGATCAATTTGAGAAGTACCTATGATCTCGTTCCACATTTTATTATGTGTCATGTAATGTGGGGAACTGGTTTTGGACTTGACTCGGTCTCGCCCTTCCTCGGTCTTGGTCTCGACTTTGTCTCAGCCCCTAAAAGTCTTGGTCTTGTCTCTGTCTTGATTTACTCTGGTCTTGGCCTTGACTTGGTCTCGGTTTGGGCGGTCTTGACTACAACACTATTTTATCATATTTAATTAAGTTGTAACATCATTGCACCTGACAAATCGGAGGCAAATTTGACCAATAATGGATTAAAAGGTGACTGGAGCTAATCATGGAGCTTGTAGCAGGAAGAAAGTTTTAGTGACAAACATGGCGAGAGGAAGACAGACGAACTGAATCAGAGCACCAATTAGGCTGTGAGAGATCAAAAGAATGAGAGGTACAAAGACTGATTCACCTAGATGAGCCAGAGGAGGAGACAGAGAGCAATAGTAAACTGCTAGAAAGTACCTAAAAGTTTAATCCATCTTTACCTAACAGAGAAAATATTGTTTATATGTTAAAATGTTCTGGAACTCACTCAGATTTGATGACACAGCGTTTTGCTTCCTCTGATATCAAAGAAAACAAAAGCAGCTGTCAGGCGGTAAATTGCGGCTGCTAACAGTTTGTGACAGGAGTGGGAGGAAAGGAAGAGTGAGAGGAGGAGAGAGAGCTGAAACAGGATTCCTGTATTTCAGGCTTTTGATATGTGGCAGGGAGATGAAGGTGGTGGGGTGTTGAAGAGAGAAAAAGGAAGGGATTTAGGATAGAGAGAGAAAGAGATAATGAAAGAGTGACAGGTAAAGGAGGAGAAGGGAGGAGGGAGGGAGAAGAAGCACTTAGGTTGAATGAGATGATGTGAGAGGGAGAGAGAGGATGGATATATTCGTGTAAGTCTTAAAAGAACTTAAAAGCTGAATGTTGTGACTCTTTGGGAGTCTTTTGTCACCGCTAAGGTACAATCGAGTTCACAAGCCTTGCAGCAACCTTCACAATTAATCTGTTCCTAGTTTTAAGTTGGGGGAGTTTCCTCAGGAAACCTTTTTGTGCCCTGAAAGTGTAAGTTGGTAAGAAAACCATCAGAAACCAAAGCTTTATCAACTGAGGAGCACGCCACAGTTCTAAACACATTCACTTACATCTAAGGAACTGCAAAGACATCACCAATGTTGGATCAATTTTGCTACAACTTTTAGCCCTCACTTAGTACTACTATATTACTTAAGCACTCTGCATTTATGAATGTGTGCCTTGTGCCTCATGATTACAGTCTTATTTATCTGGTTTGTAAAATAGAGTTTAGAAGAAAAATGACAAAACCAACCATGAATCCTTTTAATGGGGGATTTTCTCTTGAACTTCTGTATGGTGTGTTTGTGAGGTATAAAGTGTCAGGTGTCTTTGGCCTATTCTATTCTATTCTATTTTCTATTTACCATCTGCTTATCTGTTTTCTGTGTCTTACCCTCAGGTTAAAGTGATGGTGCGTGTGTGCCCAGTGTCTCAGTCGGATGCAGCTGAGTCTAGTTCATTCCTTAAAGTGGATCCCAGGAAGAAACAAATCACCATCATGGACCCCTCAGCCAATCAGACAGCAAGCGCAGCCACCCTGAAAAGGGTGGGAGCCAATCAGGTCCCTCCAAAGATGTTCACTTTTGATGCTGCGTTCCCCCCTGATGCATCACAGGTAAGACAAAAGATTGTGAGTTTAGAAAACAAAGGACTTCGATGTGATTTTGATATAAAACCTTTCATGACATTACACTGAAAGAAAAAGTTTTAGTAAAAGATAAATAGTTCAATGGACTTATGCCACATCCATTCATCAAAGTGAGTGGCTAAGTGGATCAGCCTGCAAGTAATTCCAAGTTATTAAATTTCTGAGGGCAAAAATATCTCACTTGGCTAATCTACAGTGTTCAACAGATTGGTGACAAACTGGCAGCAAAGCCACAATTGCTGGCACTAGCATCTAAATAAAATCCAATACAAAAGGAATAGTTTGACATTTGGGGAAATACACATAATCACTTTCTTGTTGAGAGTTAAATGAGAAGATCAGTCCCCACTGCAGCCAGTTAGCTTAGCAAGTGCAAATAGCTAGCCTGGCTCTGTCCAAAGTAATAAAAAATAAGCTACCAGCACCAGGAAGGATCTGCGTTGGCCAAGAAATTCTTGTATGTTTTTGAACTTTGGACAGAGTCAGACGATCTGATGTTTCCCCCTGCTTCCTGTTAAGCTAAACTAAGCTAAGCTAACTGTCTCTATATATATTATTGCTCTGCGGATTTGGTAGTATCCCCTTCCGACAGACATAGAACCCCGTTTGGGACTGCATGGATGGGACAAGGGGTGGAAAAAGTGAAACTAACTGAAAACACTTGTGATCAGATATTAATCTCACTACCAACCCACACAAATGTCAACTCCAGCACCTCCGATATAGTGCAGCTCACAGTCCAACAAAAAGCAAGTTTGTACCTCCTGAGCGGTCTGAGATTTCAGAATTTTGACGAGCGAAATTGCCCCTAAGAATACGTTGCAGCCACTGCAACTGGTTCACGGCGGACAGCTGATGCCATCTACTGCACAGATACATAGGGGCCAGGTTTTAAAATACGAAAATCATACTTTAATAATCTTGGAATAATGCACAAGCACTCCTAAGTCGGAATAACAGGATGCTTTGCCATTCATGCCGTTCTGCTGCCATAGTGTGTGAATGAAGGATTATTGACACACTGATGAACACACCCCATCATCTATAGTACTTGTTTTTAATCTTTATCTTTTGTCTGTCACTCAAATGTAAATCCTGTTTATGTCTACCACGAAGTAACTTTCGATGCAACATTCAATATGTAGGCTACCTGTATTTTTAACACTAAAAGTCAAAAAGAAAACATTAGTGCTCAAATGGATTTGAGTGCATCTACATATTCAGGTATTTATGCTTTTCTTGACCGTCTTCTTATATCTCTCTTCATTCCCCTGTCTCTGTCTGCCTGTTGCTAGGCGGAGGTGTGCGCAGGAACGGTTGCAGAGGTGATTCAGTCGGTGGTGAATGGAGCAGATGGATGTGTCTTCTGCTTTGGACACTCCAAGCTGGGTAACACTCACACGCACATGCACACAGACTACAAAATTAGAGCAAGTGTGGCTTGTGAGACATCTTTAGTGTGTGTGTGTGTGTGTGTGTGTGTGTCTGACTGTGAGTGTGTCAGTCTTTCACTTGGCCGTCTCTCCACTGGCCCTCATCTATCAGAGAGAGAAAGAAAAAGGATTAGTGTCTGCTGAAGCTGAAAGCATTCTCAGTCTGCTCTGTCTGTGTTTCTGTCTGCCATTCTCTCTTTCTAATCCTTCTGAAGCTGGTTTTTAGAGAAGCTGTCTTAAAAAGGGTCAGGACCCTTTACTGCACACTGCAACATGTCTGAACCCACACACATACACTGGCACAATCAAAGACACCACACACACACACACACACACACGCACGTTCTCCAACCCTGGGTCAGCCCCTGTTGTGTTTATCCCTGTACATGCAAGCAGTATTATCCTTCTTGGCTTGTGAGCTTCACACATCCAGTTGGAGTTTCTAAGTCCCCTTGAACTGCTTGCTGGCAGAATTTAAATGCTGCAGTTCTGCAGGGAACTCTTCCATGTTAATGGCGGAGCCATTTAATGGAACAAACAGTAATAAAGTTCTGTGTCACAGTAAAACCAACATGTAAACCACTGTGTTTTCTTGTTGTGCGGCAGGGAATTTGTCCCTTACCAAATCTGTAGTAAAAGTAAACTCATTTATATATATTTTATTAATTACGGTTTTGGTCTTTCTAATGTTGCTATTCAGTTAAAGAATAATTCTGCATGTTTCGCCATGCATGTTTAGAGTAATTGCTGAGAATTGGAAACGAAAGTCCAATGCGGAATGAAACATCAGCAGCCAGACAATTGGACAGTTTGTAAAAAAAATTTCATCTCCAAATAAAGCGTTTCAGATTCTCAACGGCCGACCATGAACTGCAGCAACTGGTTGGAGTCTCTTCCTGTCTCTCTGTTTGCTATAACCTAATATCACTCCATGGATGTATTAAAAACAAAACACTGATGTTTTGCTGTTCCTTTTCTGATGATCGTGGATGGGGAAAAGTCTCAGTGTCATGTGATACTGCAATACTGAGTATAGGAACTACACCAGAATCAGCCTGGCCAGCACTGTTACTGGGGGCTTGTTATACTCTCTAATAAATAGGCATAAAACACACCAGTAATGTTGGTAACAAGTCTTCATAGTACCCTTACAATACACACAACTACAGTAAGTCAATTAGTTGTAATAAACAGGTATTCTCCTTTAAATCAGGCTTTATGTTTTTTCATACAAGAATGCTGAAGAGTGGGCAGAGAGGAGAGGCTGCCCACCTCTCCGTCAAAGGCACATATAAGACAGATCAAACAAACTGATGCACATATAATCACCACAGCACTCCTAAGACACTAACCCAACATGGCATACACATCAGACAGCCTGTCTAGATCAATGTTTTGCATCTCACCATGTTTACATGTTTTCATCCAGCTGTCTAATATTGACATGAAAATGCCAACTGTGTCATGATTCATGATGATGATTCATGCTGTATAATATGACTGTGACTGGAGCTGAGATGACTAACACGCCCCCAAAACAGACCTCTTATTGTGTCTGTGAAGATTCTAAGTCATCCTTGGATGAGAGGCTAAACGTCTTTGATATCTTCAACCAAGTGCAGTTGCCCTTGATTTTAACCCCCCTTAAACCTATTATTGTCAGTGTTTGATTGTGTTGGCTGATAGACGTAACTGGATGTTCTGGCTTTAATACTGCGAGTCATTTTATATGAGAAATCCATCAAACAGAGTTTGCTTTTTCAATCAATTTTACTGTTATATTAATGCTACAGAGAGGCTCTGACCTCACTGGTTTTAGTTTAAACGGCTGCTAAGATGAGATAATTCTTTGTGATATGGCTCACCTAAGGCCATGGATCCAAAGAGGCTGCATTGTAACGGCATTACCTTTTTCCTAATTAAAATGGGGAAAGTAACATAACAGGCATTTATCTTCAGCCCTTGGCTGTAGACACATATGAGGACTCAGATGCACATGATCCTGAAATAAATGGATTCACTTCAGGAATGTAATTGAATCATCTGGCTTTAAATCATTTCTAATAGATGTTGTTATCAATTATTGGCCTATTGGCCTTGAATCTTGAATCTTTTAGTAATGATAAGTGTGCGTGCGTTTCTGCGTGATCTCATATGTGCATGTTTCTGAACTGATGATACACTGCTGCCTTTTTCTCTCACACTTTCTCACCCTGTTCACTTTCTCTCTGACAGCATTGGGAGCTGCGCTTGATAAGACCTATTACTGGGAATATAGATCAACTATACAGACGCGTGCGCTCACACACACACACACACACACACACACACACACACACACACACACAGCTTTATAGCCTGTAGCGTAGCGTCATTATGTTACAGTGTTGTGTTAGTCAGTGGAGCAGTCAGCTAGCTGACCATGTCTTGACAGCCTGTGGTAGATAGAACAGAAGGAAACATTGTAGAGCCATACCCACACTCACGTAGTTGGGTAAAGAAAGAGTCTCTTACGTATACGCAGTCCTGAAAGGCAAAAGATAGGAGGGTTGGTCAAGTACCCTGTGGTTATGGTAGAAATGCTACACAGAACCATTATGACTGAGGGAGTCCATCTGATTTGTTATATAAAAATAATTCAAACGTAAATCAAAATTAATAACCCAGTTAAGTTATTTTAATACAGTTGATTGCAATTTTTTTTTTATCTAGAAGAGTCTGGGCATTGTGCTTTAGAGAACCTTAAAGAGATTATATAAGGCTTTTTGGCTTTTTCCCTCTCCTTTATTGAGTTATATACCTTTTTTGTGCATGTAATAGGTTTGCAAAGTCCACCCCAAAGGGAGTTCCCATCTCCCACAGAAAACTCTGCTATGACCTGCTTGAAAACAGCCGTTTCCCTTTCATCCTTGTGACGACACAGGGATGAAAGCTAAATGAGGCTCATATAACTCGCCAAGCGGCTAGTCCGACACGCCCTTAAAAACACCGGTGGAAAAACATAGAGCTGCAGCACACCTCTCCTCTCCCTTCCAAACACTAGCGACCCTCCAGGCAGTAAATGGACATAAAGTTGTTACAGTGATGTAGAGACAGAGCTCAGTTAAAACTTTATGGAGGAAAGATACATTTGTTACAGATTAATAACTCACCACTCTGAAATTCTTGCTCCAGTCAAGCCGGTCGGCAACATGTAGCCTACAGCTGAAACAAAGCCGCGTTTGCTTCTCACTGACCCGCCCTTCTCTGCTTCTGATTGGCTAGTAGTCCTTTACTAGGAACTGCGCATGTGCCACTCCCAACAAAGATCATTTAGAGGACAGATGTATCACTCCTTAGCTAAAACGAAGCCTTCAACACAGAGTGAAAAGAGGAGCTGCAGCAATATGCAGTATGAAAAAAAATATGGTGTTTTTTGAAAATTAAACCATGTAAACCTGTTCTGGTACAACCCCTAAATAAGATTATGAACCTAAAAATGAGCATAATATCACCTTCTTTAAAATGTTTAATTTCAGCACCATATAAACACTATAATGGTATAATCTGACACTAAATACAGCCCTTTTTGTCCAGCAAGTTTACTTTTTGTCCTCCATTTTTTATAACATTTTGGAGAGAAATCATGAAATGCATCTTTGTTTTGACAGTAAATTGAGACGCTCCAGGAAACACTGAGGGAGAACAATGTAAGATTGCAGTGTAGCTGACAACCTCGCCTCCATCCTACATTATCTCTGAACAAATCCGAACACGTTTCTCTATCCTGCATCACAGGAGTCAGGCTTTTGATGTCCTCTGTTTTTGTGTTAAATGTTCATGTCGGTATGATTGTTAGGTGTGACATATGGCTTTGTTTAGGTGTGTGTTTGATCTCCAACTCCTGACAGCCAGAGCAGGTGTGTGTGTGTGTGTGTGTGTGTGTGTGTGTGTGTGTGTGTGTGTGTGTGAGGGGGGAGGGGTGGGGGTGGGGGGGGGGGGGTAATAATCATCTTGTGGCTCAAAGGGACAGATCTAGAGGCTCCAGACGCACATGCATGTTCAGGCACTCAAATACACGTTTCACACACAGGTCTATTCATACAAAGTACTTCTTTCCCCTATTTTGTCTTCCTCTCTGTCTCTTCCAGGTAAATCTTACACAATGATTGGACGTGATGACTCTCTTCAGACTCTGGGTATTATCCCCTGTGCCATCTCCTGGTTGTTTAAACTCATCAATGAGAGGAAGGAGAAAACAGGAGCACGCTTCTCTGTTCGTGTCTCCGCAGTCGAGGTCAGTGTTACTGACGAGACCTCAACTTGAAACATTCCCTGCTGGACTCTCCCTTTAAAATTGGTCTGACCGGATTTAGTCATTGATCAATTTGGGAAAGGGTTTTGACAGACAAATAAAAGACAATGAGGTGCTTACTACTAGTAAACGTGTGTGTGTGTGTGTGTGTGTGTGTGTGTGTGTGTGTGGATAGGTTTGGGGAAAAGAGGAGAACCTTAAGGACTTGCTGTCTGAAGTAGCCACAGGCAGCTTACAGGATGGACAGTCACCTGGAGTCTACCTGTTTGAGGACCCCATCTGTGGCATGCAGGTACTCGCATAAACGCACACGTACACAAACACATGCACACATTCAAACACACTGCAGCTGACATCATAATGCAGTTGCTGCAGATTAAATCCAGTGAGTGTGTATATGAACAGCCTTGGGCCTTGTATCAATATGCTTTACCTTTGTTTTTTTAGCCTCAGGCAATTCTCTGTTATCTCAGCTACTGTGGAGGGTGAATGCTCAAAGCAGCATAAGAGCTTTAATATGCCATTAGAGTCCCTTTTTATTTCAAAATAAACTAGGCATCTTTTAAAACACCAGGTTCACAAATAGCTAATGTATTAATCTGTTTTACTTAGAATACAGTCACTGCTTCTGACTGGCAGAAGTCAGAATCTAAGAAGAACCGTGTCAAACGCAAAAGGCTTAAATCAACTTTGCTCACCGGCATTTTTGAATTTACTAATGAGCATGATTCAGGCAAATTAAGGCTTCTTACATGGAATTAAGTCTCATTACCATTAAAATTATGATTAATTTTAAGGTAGTAACTACATAGCAGTATGTGTGTGTGTGTGTGTGTGTGTGTGTGTGTGTGTGTGTGGCTGCAGCTATATGTTTATAGGATTATAGGGTCTGATACAAGAACATCTGTGTAATCCTTAACTAATCTGACATAATCTCATCAGTAATGATACCCTGCAGTACCACACACACACACACACACACTCTCTCTCTCTCTCTCTCTCTCTCTCTCTCTCTCTCTCTCTCTCTCTCTCTCTCTCTCTCTCTCTCTCTCTCTCTCTCTCTCTCTCTCTCTCTCTCTCTCTCTCTCTCTCTCTCTCTCGTTTACTCCCTCTATCTCTGTCTCCCATACCTGCAGGCAAATTTAAAAATGCTTTATTTGAATATACCAAACACACATGCAGAATCCGCAAAGTACACAATAGTACATTGTTTGGATACTTCGAGCCCTAGCTGAGATTAAATGTTCCCTCTTGTCTGGCTCTCTGTCCTTCATTATGATGTATATATGGGCAATATTCAGACGAATCTTCTCTTCCCACACATCCTCCAGCTCCAGAACCAGTCTGAACTGCGTGCTCCGACCCCAGAGAAGGCAGCCTGGTTTCTGGATGCAGCCATAGCCGCTCGCCACAGTAGCCAACGCACCAACACCACCGAAGAAGAACATAGGAACTCACACATGCTGTTTACATTACACATATACCAGTATCGCATGGAAAAGACAGGCAAAGGAGGGAGTAAGTATGGTTGTTGATATCATTACTGTTAAAATATTATTATTCTGCACTTATAGTAGAATAAAATCAGACACTAACAAGAGAAAGGAGTGAGTGTACACAGAAATGATAGACCAATCAGTCTATTTACCTATAGCCTCTATGGATACATAGGGAGCTTGAGCACCAGAATTCTTAACAGAGTTGCACACATACCTATCACAGACTGTATGATCCCAATATAGATTCTGTGTTTAAATTAATTCATGTCTCCATAAATAACTGGGCGATAATGATGAAAGGGTAGTTTATTTGTGTGTAAACACATTTGACAAGAGGGTGACTGTGACAGATGTCTGATCATATTATCTGATAATAAGCACTTTCAGCGCTCATACGGGTGCATACATATAAGAGAATAAGGCAGATTGTGTGTATCTTGTGTGTGCGTGTGTATGCACATGAGTACATGCACATGCAGGCAATAAGGATGTTTGAAGATGACATAAACAACTAATGTGGCACTGCACACACTGTTTCACAACATGTTTTCAGCTATGTCTGGCTCACATAATTTAATACAATTTCTAACAGTCTTAACCTTTAGAGAGCTTGGTTTCCCATTATGTTGCTACAGAATCCAGAAACTCAGCTACAACCTTTGGTCATGTTGGTACACATTCTCAGGATTCATTTAGGAAATTGTATAATACTGTATGTCTATAGTACATTGAGGTGTATAATCAATAGTATACTACTGTAACAATCTGGTCTATACTCTGAAAATATCACTACTGAATGTTTTATTGTTTGTCGATGATATATAGTTCCCATGTCAAATTAATCTTAATTATAGATTATCTGATTCTGATCTTACCCCACAAATCAATTGACGTACTTATTGAGGAGCAAAGTTTATCAGGATTTTTTTGTGGTAAATTGAACTTGCAAAATGATCGCGACAATGATCTGAGACTGACTTTATTCTGTTCCTTTTCATTTCACCCCCATCTTATGTCATTACCCCTTACCCCATTCCTCTTCCATTTTCCTCTTCAAATCTTTTCATTTGGCTAGTGTCAGGAGGTCGTAGTCGCCTCCACCTGCTGGACCTGGGCAGCTGTGATGTCAAAGTACTTGGAGGAGAAGGAGGTGGGAAAAGCAGGGAGAACTCTTCACCCAGCGCGGCCACTCTGTGCCTTTCTCTGTCTGCCCTTGGCAATGTGATCCTGGCCCTGGTCAACGGGAGCAAGCACATCCCATACAAGTAAGGTGGCGTGAGCATGTGTGAGGAGAGTAGGGGTGGAGAGGGGAGGAAAGATGAGGAAAGCAGGATGTTTTGGAGCTGGAGGAGATGAGGACAGGAAAGCTGATGAGCGATCTCTTAAGTTGCCTCAGGTTTTGGGGACTTTATGTTATAAACAACAGCAGCTGCTGTTACATATTCATCACATTCACTTTGCTGGTTAACTGACTGGCAATGAGACCAAAGGAAAGAGAGAGATAGAGCACAGATGGAGCGATAATACAGACAGAAGCAGGTAGAAAATTAAAAAAAACCAAACACATCATAATTGCTAATGTTTAGTATGCCTTGGCAGTACAGTATGCACAGTAGTACAGTATGTACATTATATGGACCAAACTGTAAATGTCCTAATTTTACCTTTCCCTCCACTCCTTGTGTGTAGTTCTGTGCTTCTTGCTGGGTTAATTTAATCACCAGCTTTTGCATTTACATTGCAAAACAACCTGCTACCTAACATTGAAGCCTGTAAGCAAGCAAAGCTGTGCTGAGTCTGGTTTGGCACTGGTGACTCAGACTGCTGTTGGATTGTTAGGGGGTTTGGACTGGTTACAATGTACAGTATGTCATGATATTGCCACTTCTCAAGAACCAATGGACAAGTCATCAGTGGAGACGAGTGGAGTGTTCACTGCAGGGCTATAGCAAGATATAGCCATTAGCTAATTATCTTCTTTCTTGGAATATAAGAGAAAGATGGGTCAGTGTCGTCATACTGTCCAAGAATTTGGAGACAATGGGGTACAACCTAAACAGCAACTCCTAAATGAAAGAAATTTGAGAAACAAGACCACAGTCGATGCTAGTGGCTCTGTGAGGTTGTACTTAAAGTATGTATATCAGTGCTTAGAGCTAAATGCTAACATCAGCATGCTAACAAGCTAGCAATGACAATGGTAAGCAGATAAGTGACTTATGAGCTGATAATGAAATTACATTGTTAACTATTTCTGTATCTAATTAGCACTAAATACAAAATACAGCTAAGGCTGACGGAAATGTCAGTAGTTTTTCAGGTATTTGGTCAGAAAGCAAAGTATTGGACAAAGTAAAAGTTGATCACTCTAAAGTTCATCCTGCGGGGTACATTAAAGTCCAAAACCTACCAACATTTGTTCCAATCCTACTGGTGCCCCTAGTGAAAAAGTCAGTGGGATTCATCCTCAGGGCTTCATGGATATTTGTACCTAATTTCATGGCAATCCATTCGACAGTTGTTGAGAAATTGTACTAAAAGACAAACATGTCAACCTCATGGTGGCACTGGAGAAACAGTCCTGGGATCATCAAAGCCATTAGGTAATCTGGGGACCATTTCGACAATTACTAACAGTATTTCCTGTGATGTGACAATATTGAAAGCAAAGCCAAATCCACTTCAGTCCAGAAACTCTGCTTTGTTAATTTCATCACAGTTAAGGGCTGAGCCTGTCTCCCAGTGCTTAATTACTTTCTGGATTTTCTTATAATCGCAGCCTTGTTCCAGTAGCCAGTTGATCAGTAGAATATTGGACATTATCATGTATTTGTAGCATCCAAGTTCAGGAAGAAGCAGCAGACTGTCACAAAGTCAACATTTTGTGATGGCAAGAACACAAGCATCTCAGCGTGATGCCAGACAGATGGCAGTCTTGCAAGACCCACGTTTCAGCCACAACATGTTGATTTAAAGGCTCTTCCCACATTCACTGAACATCAACCTTTCTCTTTAGGGACTCTGTACAGCTTCTCGCCCTAATCAGACTACTCCCTTGCTGTATCTCCTTCCTGGCAGAGCCCCCTATTCAGTCAAGTAGCTCCCTAAATGTTTCCATTAAAATTAACTCCTATACTGACTGGAGCCATACAGGACACAGTCAGTTGTTCCATACTCCAATTTCCCGTTTGACAATTGCAATTCTTAATGTTAGTAATATGAGCATAGACATTCTAGCGTGCTCCAGGAAAGTCTAGATCGTCTTAATTTATTAGTTCTGTCATACACAAGTACAAATCTGATAGTGAACGACATGTTTCCCAGTGTGGCTTCTTCAGGCGTGCTGCTTAATATTAGTTTATTGTAATAATCGTGATCTATGAATTTAGGTGCTGCATTCATTATTAGCTAGTTTTAATCATAGAGCATCATATAACATATATTAGTCTTCATAGTTAAAAAAAGTAATATATCTAGCACAGGCTGAGAGGTAAGATCTAATCCAACGTCCCCAGCTCTTGAATTAACATGCAAATGAATACTTCATGAGTCATGAATTTACCTACATTAATCTCATGGAGAGATATAGAGAGATATACTGAGGGAGAGAGAGGAGGGTGTGTTGAGGCCTGAGGCAGCAAACAGAGAAAGAAGAAGAGGAGAGGAGCATCGAGGAAGAGGGAGGTCAAGATAGGAGTGTTTGAATGTACACATGCGTGTGTGAGACATGCCTGGAGGCTGTGTTTTTAGAAAAGGGGGACAGCAGCATGAGGTATTGGGCCACAGAGGAGCTTTACTCACTGTCAGCCTGCAGGCCTCAACACACACACACACACACGCACACAAACGTACACACAAAAAAGGCTATGAATGATTGCAGTAGCCCACCCAGGAGAAAGTCTTTTCTTAAACACACAGCCTACTTTTACTCTCTGCTAGTATAATCTCTCTGGGACAATATTAGAGTACATAATATCCAGAGTGCTCCTCTGTTAGCTTTAGTCTGGAATAGCAACCTTTCATGTGTTTTAGTAGCATTAATCAATAACCATAATCAACACAATAACAAATTTACCATTAAGTTTGCCTTTTGAATGTTTTAGTCTAATTTATATGAATATGGTAACCTGGTGTTTGTCATTATTAAACAAACTATTAGTATTCTCTCCTACTTGTAGAAATGTTGTGTGTTCTTAGTTATTAATAATCCTTCGTCAGACGTGTGGGAGTCTGTTGGAAAATCGACCAGTTTTGTCACATCTTTGAGTGACTGTGTGCATTTCCAACGTGTCTTTAGTCTCACGTCTCGGTGTATGTGCGTTACTAGGGACAGCAAGCTGACTATGTTGCTAAGGGAGTCGCTAGGCAACATGAACTGCCGGACCACCATGATTGCTCACATCTCTGCCTCACCCGGAGATTTCTCAGAAACGCTTTCCACCATCCAGATAGCTTCCCGCGTCCTCCGCATGAAAAAGAAGAAAACTAAAGTCACTGTGGTGAGTTTGAATCAAACCTTGATGCTTTATTAAAATTGGGAGATAGTTTCTCATTAAACTGAAACTCGAGTTCAGGATAAAGACAACTACAGTCACTAGTAAGATACCTTAAACAGATGGACACATAACTGTTTATCAGTGTCAATATTACAATAATACACCTGCTCATAATCTTGCCATTGCACTGCATAATGTTTTATTTCTGGAGTTCATGTGAAAATCCTGGCTATTTATAACTAACTACAAATTGAAATGACTGTTATTTGAATGATGATGTGTTTTGTGCTGAGTTGACATCATGCATTTTATCACCTCCCCTTCCTTTCCCTGACATGTGCCACATGTGCCTCGTGTGTCACCTTTCACTTCGCATGCTCACTTACTTCAAAACTGTTCTGCTGACGAATAAGGGGCGAGTGGTGAGATACCGTATACCAAGTGGCAGTCTGTGATAGAAATAGGAATCGTTACTTTAAATGAAAGTTCTTATGTTAAATCAGATGTCATGTTGCTTGAATAAGGTGCATGCTGTCTTGATGTTCATCCTTTTCTCTTTCTTCTCTATCTTTCCTGTCTCTCCAGTACAAACTGTCAATTAAAGGCAAAAAAAAATGTTCTTCTAAAAATGGATTATTTTCTCTCTCACCACCCTACTCTCACCTCCTCCTCGCCCATCTGTGTCCCTTCTCAGCAATACACCTCCAGCTCCTCTGGAGGAGAGAGCTCCTGCGAGGAGGGTCGCATGCGTCGTCCGACCCATCTGCGACCTTTCCATCAGCGTGGTGACACTGACTCTGACCTTCCATTGCTGCGACTGTCCAGTGACCCTGATGAATACTCGAGCAGTGAGCAGTCATGTGACACAGTGATCTATGTGGGCCCGAATGGGGCTGCGGTGTCAGATAGAGAGCTGACGGACAATGAGGGACCACCAGAATTTGTACCAATTATTCCCGCTTTGCTTCGAGGTAAAACATCAGAGCAACAGCAAACACAAAGTCAAAGTCAGGCAGCTGGAGCTCAGAACAAGGTAATTTAAATATGTCTTTGGAGTTTTGACAGCCAGGCGTAATCAGAAGAATATTTGTTGTAACACTTACTTGTCTGTGATTTCTGCTCCAACAGGTGCAGTCTCAACCGCAGGACCAGCCCTGTGGCCCCTCTCAGCCGCTGCCTCAGCCTGCTCAGTCACTTCTTGGGCAGCCGTTGGCCCCGGTCCCAGAGGAAGGAGCTGAGTGCCTGAAGTGCAACACCTTTGCAGAACTGCAGGAGAGACTGGACTGCATAGATGGCAGCGAGGAGGTACTAAGAGTTTTCAGTCTTTTTGTTGTTTTTATTATAAAAAGAAAAGTAAAACTTGTCTGTTAGTTTGATGGGATCTGTATTTGATGGTATATTGAAAGTTTGACAGGTTGTTTGACAATTGGAACACTTTATTCAAATGGAAAAAACAACTTTTTTCCATTTGAATGTAACTGTAACTGCTATTTTGCTTGCACTTTGCTTGTCACTGCTTGAGCTGTGGTGGCAATACCTTATTATTGTTGTTAATAGCTCAAGTGATCTTGTTCATTTTCATCCACCAGTGCTGAAGGCAACATAAGTGCAGAGCAATTCCTTTGTCAAAAATCAGATCAAACTATCTCAGGTATTCTCACATGAAGTTTTCTTCTTTTTCATCCATGCCTCTGTCCCTTTGTTCAGGTGACAAAGTTCCCCTTTGAAGAGGTTGCAGTGAGCAGACAAGGAGCCAAACAAGAATTATGTCCATCTTCAGGCGCCCCAACCTCAGCTCCTTCTCCTCCTGGTTCTGCTGCTGTGTTGGATACAGACACCAAAACAGGTTAATTTGTTTTTTACATATACTGTAGATACACTGTAGATGAATGTTGTATTCCAGTGTCTTTTACTTTTGGGACCCTGATAATTTTGGGGCTTTGAAGTCTTCCTTAGCTCAGTGTGCCAACTGTAATTCTCTAATTCAGCATCAAGTCAAGTCCGATTTTACTGTTCCTGTAATCTTTGGTCTGGGATTTATTTGGTCCAATATGTCCAGGCTCTGCGTGTGCTGTAGGAGGTGCAGTGCAGTCCTCCTTCTCCTCAGCAGCAGCAGCAGCAGCAGCAGCGTCCAGGAGGAGGACCAATGACCAGCAGCTACAGGAGATCAAGGAGGTGGTGGAAGAGGCGGAGCTGGCCCAGACAATGATCCACAGTCTGGCTCAGAGTTCTGGTTCCCCCATAGTTACTAGTACCAGAAGTGTTACAGGAAGTAGCAGCATCACCTCTAACCCCCTGCATAGGGCCAAGAGCTCCCACATGCATGACAGGTGAGGACAGGTGTAACCAAAAAAAATTAAAAATACTGTGAATTTTATTAAGGAGTGTCATTGGAATGTGTTTGACTTTCATTGACGAGATGTCTCACTTATTGTCTCTCTGAACAGCCACGAGAGTCTGAACGTGGGCAGTAACGCTGAGGGGAAGGCACGCCCACTTGGATCACCACGCCTCGGCATTGCCAGCCTGACAAAAACCTCAGACTACAGGTAAAGTACATGCATGCATACATATCTGTGCAATAATAACAACTGCAGATTTAACTTAACGCCATAATGTTTGATCCTCGTATTCTTCCTCAGGCCACCATCCTCCCCATCCCAGCGGTGTAAAGTGTACACTCAGAAGGGCGTGATGCCGGCAACGCCCCCTTTGTCCTCTCACACTCTGGCTCAAGATGGCCAGGCCATAGATGCTTTGACCTCAGACAGTAGGCACCTTTCTACCTGTTTATGCTTTAGAATTGTGCTTATACGGAAACTTTGAAAAACATGTTTCATCTTTATGATTGATTTAAACTTTTCAAAATTTAACATTCAATGATTTCTACTTGTTGTTAACAGTCAACAGAGCCCATGTTACTGTCTTACTGTAAGTCATGTAATATAGTCACATTGGTGATTTACATGTATTCTGTTGGAAACAACATAAATTACGATGCCAAATGTTTTTTTCTGGTTCTGTAGACAGTTTGGCTGCAGACAGTGGCCGATCCTCCACAGAGTCTGTGCTGTCCAGGACTTCTCCGGTGGGCATGAGCCCACAAGTCAGAGAGCCAACTCCGTCTCTGTCTGCCAGCCTGGGCTCAGCTGAGACACTCTGTGACGATGACGTCCCGCCGATACCCATGGACACTCACAGGGATGGTGAGTGGCACTGAAAGACAGCTATTTTTACACAGGGAAAGGGGAGTGAGATGCAAAAACCCTTACAATTATGATGACAAATACTTTTCACACTAAGCAAGAACAAAATTAACAAATGTGGTAACTTGTTTCTCTCTACTCAGGACCGGCAGTATCTGGAGGAACATTTGGACCTCTCTCTCTTGGGGAGGATGAAATCGTGTACACTATAACTTCTGGAGGTGATGAGGACCTTCATGTAGCTCTCATGGAGACTCAGGCCCTAACCTGTCGTCCAACGAGCATCATCAGCTTCACCGGCAACTGTTGCTCTGTCACTGCCCTCACCTCGGCCTCTCGAGCTGTCAGCACCTTCAGCGGTACTGCTGAGGATGGAGCTGTGGAGGATTATTTCATGCCTGCAGGTCCTGCAACGACCTCAGGGGTTGTTGCCATGGCAGAGGTTAGTGTGACTGACTTGCTTTGTATTTACAGTGACACAGTAAGATAACTGGCATGCAGATATGTGTGTTTAACTAAAGCAAATAGCTGATTTGAAATGACTTGAACCATAAAAAACAAATACAGAACAATAGCCACCATGGCAAAGTTCATAGACTAGGGCTGTTGGCCAAACATGGCTGCCGCTGAACACTGACATCTTTCTTATTACGGGAGTATATCTATTAAATGTATAGCTTTTTTAAATTCAAAATATATTAATTAATTCATATAAAAATTCAGACATGAAGCAGATTAATTTTTTTACAAAATGCTTGTATTTATTATATTCAATGATACTTCATGTGACAAAATTATTTTTAGATGAAGAATTTAAATAAAGTTTAATGAAGATGGCAGCTTATCTGTACTACTAGTCGATAGCCTAAATCTTATAATAAGTAGATGATTTGTTGTCTGAATATCAAGATGCCGATTGAATTGTGTCCTGTTGTAGGTTGCCATGGCCAAGCTGCGGCTAGAAGGTGAAGCCTTAGCCACAGTGATGTCTAACTGTGGGTCACCCATCTCCTCCTGGATGAGCGATCTGAGTGTGGGCAGTGAAGCTGACCAGTCTCTCCACAGCTTCAGTCAGTCCCAGAGCCAGCACGGAGAGGCCCTGGCTGAACCTGAACCCAACCAGAGCCTTTCTTTTGGAGTGGAGGGGATGGGTGGTTATGAAAGCTGTGGCAGCCTGAGAAGAGGGAGTCTGGAAGGAGAGGTGGTGCTGTCAGAAAACGGGAGTGATAAGGGAACTCCAACCAAAGACAGGCTGAGGAAACTGCCTCCGTCCATGGCTAAAACAAACATCCAGATTCTGGCAGGAGCTGGTAACTTCTCTCCCTTCAAGACCACCATCAGTGTGCACCCATGTGTGGCTGTCAAACCCATGGTTTTACAGGAACCAAGCATGCTCTATTCACCTACGAAGACTAGCTTAATGAAAGACCCAGGCAAATTGAATGCACAACATTTAGCTTCGATTTCCAGTGAGATGAGCTTTGAAGACCCCTGGTTGAAGCGTGGCATGGAGGAGGGGAGGTCCAGGGAGCTTGTGTGTGAAGTGAAGCCGGGGAAGAGAGAGGCAGAGCATTCAAAGAACCAGACTGTAGCTGGGACCGGAGACTATCGGAGCTTCTGCAGGGATGGTAAGCAGGGCCAGACTGGGATAATAAGTCAGGCCGGGAATGTAACGACAATCTCTTCATGTTCACAATAGACCACGTATAGTGTAACTGCTTTGTAGAAATATTTTTACTGTTTATGCTAGTAACATATCTTTAAGAGTCTTCAGTTTGAGTAGTTAATAAAATAGTTAACAGATTATTTCCATTTTTACACATCTCATTCTTTTCTAAATACTGTATTGATGCCACTTGTTATGTTTGTTTAAAAAAAAAAAAAGAATCAACCCGGGAAGGTTGCAATATTATAAAGTGCTGAGGGCTGCTGCAAACATGTTTTTTTTTTCTCTTGTGAACATAGCTGTAATTTTGCAGCATTTAGCTACACTTTCCTCCTGCTTTTGTAGTTTGACTACGTTCCCTCTCAGTTCCACCTTTTCTGTCTATTTTTTCTGAACACTGCTCAGTCATGCGCACTCAACTCACAGACTGAATGTTGTGTTAACGTGCGTGTGACCATTTGCGTGTGGTTACAGGCAGAGATATCATTAGGTTAAAAGCAGGCAGGGGGGGCTGACAGTCTTTGGCGACTGTAGCTGCCCTGTGTTGTTTTTGTTTTGATTTACCCTCATTTATCTCATTTAGCATTTTTAACACAGGCTTGACACATTGGGTGCTCCTGATGGCTGGCTTGGGTCTCATTGTATCAAATAGAGAAATGTTGTTTCAAAATATATATAAAATATTTGCTGAATTATTATATTATAAAATTCTAATTTGCTTTTCTTGTAGGTGGGGATAACGGCAGCTCTAGTTCAGGTGGTGAGGTTGTGTCGTCTCCAGATTCCGTTAAGAGAGTGGTGGATGGCTGTGAGATGGTTTCTGTTGTTGCCCAGGGAGAATGCCTGGCGAGTAGCTACAGCCCAGATATCCACCGTACTGCCAGTCTTCCCCGCGGCTGGCACCGTCTCAACCGCCACGACGGCTTAGACAGTGGAATCGAGTACCGTAATCTTGGAGTCACCGCTTCAACTCCCTGCAGTCCCCGTGCCACACTTGACCGCCGGGGATCAACTGGAAAACAGGGCTTTTTCTCCCACAAGAAGGGAGGAATCCCACCTCTGCCACCGGTACGGAAGTCCAGCCTCGACCAGCGGAACAGAGCAGCCAGCCCTCTTCACCAACCCAGCCACGGAGTTTCGTTACTGGGCAGCTCAGCAGATGATGCAGGTGTTATCAGACAACGAGGCTCCAGCATAGACAGCAGTAAACTTTTCAGTGCCAAGTTGGAACAGCTTGCAAATAGAACCAACTCTCTGGGTCGGGTCCACAGCTCCCACAGTGGGTCCCACCACTACGACTGTTTCTCTCTGGAGAGGGGGGAGAGCCTCAGAGGAGGAGGAGGAGGATGTGTAAGAGGGGACAGCACCATGCCTCGTGCTGGGCGCAGCCTCACCCGTGCTGGATCAGTATCTTCTCCTACTGGAAACAGTAGCAGCCCCAGTTTCAGTGCCAGCCCCGGTCCAAGCAGCGCTCCTCAGTCACCAGCCAAAACCAGCAGCCAGTCAAAGATCTCAGCAGTCAGTAAGTTGCTGATGACCAGCAGTCCCAAGGCCAGGAGTCTGTCTGCCTCCAGCACCAAGACTCTGAGCTTCTCCACCAAGTCTTTAAGCCAAGCTGCCAGCCGCAGCTCTAGCCTTCCTCCTAATGGAAAGGTAGGACGGAATATTTCTTCGCCGTAAATAAACACACTTATAACACCTGCACTACATAACTCTGCTCATCACACAAAACTAGACGAACCTCTTAGTGTGCGACCTTTCCTCTATGTGCACTTCTTTTACACAAAAAGAAACAGAGAACACTTTCATAATTTACTCAATGCAAGTAATTCAAGCAGTCATGGCATCCATTTGACCTTCCATCCACCTAAGCCAATTATCTGTATCCTCAGCCCCAGAGCTCAGTCCAGGTCCCTCAGCAGCAGCAGGGACCTTCCCCTGGATCCTGGTCTACCCAGTCTTTGAGTCGCAGTCGAGGGGGAAGTCTGGCTGCCAAGCTTCCTCTCCGGGCAGTCAACGGTCGAATCTCAGAGCTCCTCCAGGGCAGTGCAGGCTCCCGTTCCAGGAATCATGCCCAGGGAGGAGGTACCGATCCATCTCCATCAGGAGAGGAAAGAGTAGTTGGAGTGGCAAGGTTAGTCAGTTTTACTTTGTTTTATTTTTAATTTCAAGCTTTTAGTAGGACATCCTGCACAAAGAAAATTATTATGGTCTGAGGTGCTGCCGGCAGTATCCTCCTAGTTCTACTTCCATCGGGGACTTTTCCTGCATGTATTTCCCTCTGCTGTCATCTGTCAAATATTAACTAAAAAAGGCAAACATGGCATTAAGACTAATTCAGAAAAGAATCTGTTTATATTTTAAACTTTTTTTCCTGTTTTTCTGTTCTCAGTGGAGGGGGAGCTGGAGCAGGAGGGGGTGGTGGTGGTGGAAGTAGCCTGGGAGAGGAGAAGGCAGCAGTGGTCCAAACGCTGCCCTCTCCCTACAGCAAGATTACAGCTCCCAGAAAACCACACCGCTGCAGCAGCGGTCATGCTAGTGACAACAGGTATACGCTTAAGTTCATTGAGAAATGTCAAATTTAATATTTTCACACAATACCTTTGGTGCTACTAGACTTTTACCTTTAATTGTGATCTCATTTTGCCTCCAACAGCAGTGTACTGAGTGGTGAGCTCCCCCCGGCCATGGGAAAGACAGCCTTGTTTTACCACAGCGGAGGCAGTAGTGGCTATGAGAGCATGCTGAGAGACAGCAGCGAGAACACAGGAAGTACCTCCTCTGCTCAGGACTCCCTCAGTGAGCACAGCTCAGCCACCACCTCCTCCAGACGGAGCTCCAAGAGCAGCAAGAAGAGCAGGAGCAACACAGGTCACAATATAAACCTAAACCTTTCTAAATATTGATTTAATGACATTTTGACTTAATTGGATCATGGAGGGAAACAAGAAAGACAAGGTGAATCAGCTTACTGTTGTTTATAGGAGGTATTATTAACTGTCACGAACCTGTGAGGTGGATGGATTATCTCGGCAAAGAAGAAGTGCTCACTAACACAGATTTGTGAACAATATTTGAGAGAAATAGGCCTTTTGTGTACGTAGAGAAAGTCTTAGATCTTTGAGTTCAGCTCATGATGAATGGGGGCAAAAACAAAAGTGGTTTATTTATAATTTTGTTTAGTGTATATATGAGAACATTGTGAGTGTGATCCAAAGAAGGTTAAAGTCAAGGGCAACTGGACTTGGTTGCAGATACTAGAAGACGTTTCGTCCCTCATCCAAAGGACTTCTTCAGTTCTGACTGACTGGTAGGGAAACTCAGCTATTTAACCTCAGTGCTGGTTCGTTAGTGTTCCAGGCTGTTGTAATGACAGTCGTTATGGTCGTTAGGACTACCCGTGACCCAAGACTGAACTACCATCGTTGGCATCCTCACCTGAGGCCAATAGGTTACGTTTGTTGAGTTTCCTGGGAAGTGATGAAAGGACAGCATTGTAAGTGGGGGATAAGTGGTGGCGTGGACCCCCTCCCCTGTTCAATGACGGCTTCTCGACCCTGGTGTAGATGGCTTCCTTGACACCTCTTTCAAACCATCCATCTTCTCTGTCTAAAATGTGCACCTGGTGGTCCTCAAACGAGTGTCCTCTGTCCTTCAGATGTAAGTAGACAGCAGAGTCTTGATCTGAGGAGTTGGCCCTTCTGTGTTGAGCCATGCGTTTGCGTAGTGGTTGTTTAGTCTCCCCAATATACAGGTCTGTGCATTCTCACTGCACTGTTGTTGTGTTTGACCTTCTTTTCCTCCTCCCCTGTAGTTTTGTTCTTCTTGGATCTTGTGGCTGTCTTCACAAAGGTCCATTTAGGGTATCCACAGGCTGTAAGTGCCCCCTTCAGGTGGTTCTGTTCCTTCTCTCTGGCTTGGGCGCTTGTTGGTATGTTTTCCGCTCTGTGGTGCAGTGTTCTCATGACCCCTAGCTTGTGCTCCAGTGGGTGGTGGGAATCGAAGATCGAAGAGTAGATATTGGTCTGTGTGTGTGGGTTTTCTGTAAACACCAATCTGCAGGCTCCTGTCCTCTTCAATGTGTACAACGCAGTCCAGGAAGGCCAAACTGTTGTTTGAACATCTTCTCGTGTGAACTTGATGTTACTGTCCACAGAGTTGATGTGTTCTGTGAAGGCTTGCACTTCCTGGCTTTTAATTTTGACCGATCTGGTCAGGGCTGAGGCTAGTTCTGTTGTCCACTGCTTCTATGTTGGGGATGCAAGTTTAATCTAACTTAAACTTATATGAGAGTCAGGAAAGTACAAACAGCCTGTGGCAACAAGAGCTCAAACTCAACAATTCAAATTCTTAATTAGTGAATGCCAAATGCACGACTTGCATGCTTAATTTTTGCTAAAAGCACCTAGGCTACATGATTCTTGTATTATAAAATCTATAGTGATGAACACTTTAACAAAATGTGATCAGAAGATGCTAAAGCTTTAAAAAAAAAAAAGAAATAAAAAGCTAAGAAAGTAAGATAGAACTGATTGAATGAAAGACATCTATGGAAAAGAACCACGAGAAAGCAATGAACAGGTAAGGGAAAAGTGAAGAAAGCTGTGGTTGCAGAAGGAGGCAGGTAGGAAAGGTGACCCTGATCATCCATCTGTGA